TGGATCCAGATGAACGTGGTAAGAGGTTACTTTTTGCTAAAAAAAGAAATGAAAGAAAAGAGAAAGAAAAAAAGGGCTTCACTTTTCCTTTTTTCTCTCCAACTGGAACTAGGTGGAGTTCGCGATTGCTTTCACTCTGCTATCCTTCACATTCACGTCATGTTTCTTGCTTTTTTTTCTTTTTTTAATATTGTTTTAACTCCTTTTTACCCGCCTGCCTGAAGACCAAATCAAAAATTTCCAACCCCCAAAAATCCCTCGATCATCCCCCTCACTTGAAAACCGGAGTTCCCCCCCCCCCCACCACCCGTGGGCGTCCGTTCTCCCCCTGATCGCGATGGCACTGAGACCCTTCCGGCCTAACCTTGCGTGAGCAGACGCCCGCCTCCATCGACGTACATAGGGTCGCCTATGTAGGCACAAGAAAGACATCTGGCAAAGCTCCGATCTGTCAGCCTTGAATCAAGTGCAGATTTTGATATCTCATCCTGGCGTTCATCGGGCATCACAAGCAAAACGACACTGTTTCCACGATCGATTTCTCCCCTAAAGCCTTCGTTTCCTTTACACACGGTAGTCAATTACAACGCTAGTAGCGAAAACGCGAAGGCTTGGCAATTTGGAGAGACGCGAGTACAGAAAACCCCATTAGTGTTCGCACTGTAAAGGTAGCTCCCATGCTAAGGCTCGCTGAAGGCAAAGCTGGCAGATATTTCTTTAATTTATTTCAAGCTTAGCGTTACAATGTATTTGTCTTTGTAGGGGCCATGTTCTCGTCGGTATCAACTGTAGACACCTTCTGTAATTTTCTGGGTGCTTTTATCTTCAATCCAATGTACATCAAATCAGCGGAACGTGGTTTTCCTGGATTGCCGTTTCTTGTGGCCGCTCTACTTATCATCATTCCCCTGATTATGACCAAGTAAGTACCTTATAAACGTCCGCAGCTGCTTGGCTTTTATTAGTAGAGCCAGAGTGTACAGTAGTTGGTGGCAAGAAACGTGGTACCTTGCTGGTTATTCCAACCCCCTTTCCTTTCCGGGCCACAGAGACATCCCTTTCCACAAGCGGTCGAGATCCATGTGAGACTAAATAAGCTACCCGCTAGGCATCATGGGAAGAACTTTCACACACCTACCCCAGTTCCTTTATGCTTAAATTTACATGGGATGAGAGAGACGAGTGGATATGAGGTCACTTTATTTTCCAGCCTTTAAATATGGCTTTAAAATCATTCCCACCCATGGAAGCTATGTATTTATATGGCCATGACATGGTAGGTTTTCTATCCGGCCAATACTTTCCCAGCCTTGTACTATCGATCGCTCCGGCAGCATTTGAACGATTCTCCTGTTAAATCAGAAATTTTGAAAAAGGAGAAAATCCTTCGCTCTCAAGCGGAATCAGTGAACAAACTGCCTGGCTGATCAAGCTATTTCTAAAACATGATCCAGAATGGACGTCTAACTTTTTCTTCAATGTGGCAGGTTTTTAAAGGACCCGACGACATTCCGAAAAATGACAGAAAACAGCACAACAGACGACAAAGCGACGGAAGAAACGAAAGAGGTGGATGAGAAAGATGTGGAACTTAAAGACGTACCGTTAAACGAGGGACAAGAAGTCAAACTTTGAAGCCGTCTACTTTTAATAGTTTTAGATTAGCTGCCTTTCCATCCCCTCCCGTCTCTCTTGTACCAAGAGGGGGGAGGGGGGGGGGTATGATGTGTATAATTATATTTTGATGGTGTACGTGGTAGTGTAGCTTAGGGAGCAACCTGATGAAGCGAGTAGGACAGCGAAAAACGTCCCACTTATGTTTCTGGATGGCCGGAAGCCAGGACTGTGAAGTCTGCGCAGTAACGCAGGCTAATTTAGCACATTTACAATTGCCCGGGAATCGAAAGGATACAGGCTGATTTCGCGCAAAAGTAATTAAGCTTTATAAAGGAATCATCATTTACACCTGCCTTCTACTCACGGCAAAGAATTCAAATTCAAACGCATTCGTGATCAGGTGTTCCAGATCGCACTTGCTTCACTCACCAATATTTTTTCTCTTCTTCCTCTACTGACACGTACTGTAGTTGTTTCATACGTGTTTCGAGGCCATGTCCAGAGGTATCCTTAAAGTGCACCTAACCCCAAATTTTTCATTCGCATAGTTGAAATATCCATGTTAATTTAGTTGTTCTGCGAAAAAATAAAAAAAACTGATAGAAGACACGCAGAATTCGTCAACAGATGTTCATGTGCCCTGCCGTGTACTGAAACAGCAGCAGCTTTGACAAGCGTGGACATTTCTTCGTCTTCAGTTAAAAATGCGCGTAGGTTGGCTAAAAAAATCGCGAGAGGCCAAGATAAAGATGGATTGTGATAGTTTGTTAGGCAATCGGGTATTTGTGAGGACTGGTTGTCAATAATGAGCGACTGAGTTGGCAAGTGATATCGCTACCGACCCAGTGAAACAGGGGCACCCAAGGAGAATATAGTTCAAAACCACTCAAACATAGCGTTGTTTAACGTGTTTTAGTAGATATAGCCATACTTTTATTCCCTAAAAGTTTTTCATCTGTTCGGATTTCCTAGCTGAAAATCTAGTAATCCGAAAATTATAGGGATCAAAACTTACCTTTCCGAAAATTTCAGCCAGAAAAAAGGCTACCGAAAATTCTGGGTGAGCTTTTCACAGTAAAAATCCATTAAAAATGGGCAATTATACCATTTTTTAGATGTTCGAAAATCCTAGGAGAGGCAGGCAAGCAAGAAATTTTACAACAAATGTTCCAAAAATTCTAGATCTCAAATCGTCTTCCGAACAGATATTTTCCAAAAATTGACGTTGGGTGCCCCCTGAGTGAAAGTCGCACAGAGAGTTATAAACTCGACTGCATCGAACAACAACTCGACTTGCGACTTCACTTGCCTTCGAACTACACAAAGTGAAGTCTTTCAGATCTTCATGCATCCTTTTTACTGCACACAGCAATTTACCGGATGTCATGCTATCCACTAACACCTTTGCCTAAAAACATTCAATAAAATATTAGTAACGGGTTATTGTTTGTCAGATTGTGTCTGTTTTCATTCAGCAGCCCCACCAAGCATTTTGACTGGTCGTATTAACGGGGTAATTTTAAAAAGAAAAGAACGACTCAGGACTCCCAAAGGTGGTAGTTGGTCGTAATAACGGGGTAGTCGGATTAACGGGATTTTCAGATAAGAAAATGAGTGGGCTTTTGTTCGGGCCACAAAAAAGTGGTCGCAATAACGGGATGGTCGTATTAACGGAGTGGTCGTAAGGCGGGGTTCCACTGTAGTGAAAACCAACCTTAAGTTATTTTAGTTGCGTACAATACAATAAAAGAAATCAACCCATAGACAATTTTCCATTGCTTTGCCCCGTGCATGATTTAATATAAAATTCTACAAAATAGGTACAGTTCAAAATACCTAAAACAGTCCCGCTAAAACTAAAAATGGAATAAGTAAAAAACAAAACGAACAAATTAAACAAAAAAGAAAACGTTGGCAAAATTGCGTAATTATAGTTACAATAATTATGGAGTCATCATTTTTTTAAATAGTATTCCGGTTCTCCCTCGTCTAAGAAAGTGAGACCAGAACCGTAGATCAGGAGATGCGGAAAAATTTACTAATTCTGAGTCTGAGCTTTTTCCTTACGATGCTTTCCAGAACTATTTCTACTTTGATGTAAAGTATATGAAATAATTCCTTCATTCATTCATTGTTCGTTGGAAAATAGCCAGCGAATATAGGCTGTCTTTCCTAGCTCCTGGATCATTGCTAAATTTCAATTTGCGATACAAATCATGTCACATTTTGAATGAATAAGGGTACTACGAAATATATATAAAAGAGAATACTAAATGATAATACAAATACTACACTATAAAAAGCTTAAAATTTAAAAAACAGCAAGCCAGATATATTTTCAAGGTGTACGTCTTTATTCCACCTCTGCAAGAAAACAAACATCACAAAACAATTAAATGAAAATCATTGTAGCCTGTGTAGTACTAGTTTAGGGCGCAAATAAAATCGGGCCACCCTGGGTGCCAGATGCTTTTCACGTGACTGCGGCCGACGAAGCTCCTCGCCGCACGCGAGAAAAAACCTCTGGTACTCAGGGTAAAATCCGGCCGCTGGAGGAACGAAATCTACCTGAAGATGACGTTTTTAATGCTCTTTATCGAGGCGTCAGGGGCACCCAACCCTTGTTTTCTGTAAAATATCAGTTCGAAGTAGCAAAATTGCCTATTTCATTGCACCGCTTTTGGAATGCACTTCCAGAGATCTAAAAGTACTCTGGGTAGCCTAAAAAGCGTTTTCAATGTATTTAGGAGGAAACCGTCGTTGAGTGCCCCTGAGCCGTGTCAATAAAGTGAGAATTTATTTTGTAACAAACGCCAACAACCAGCAGCATGACTAGAAATGAGGGAAGAGGTATGTCCAAGCCTACATAGAAGCTCCAAAATTTGGATTTACCAGCTTTGGTTTTTAAGAACCTGTTAGCCTAAAATTGGCCAGTTAGGTCCCCACTATACAAGAACCTGTTTAGCCTAAAATTTGAAACAGGTTTTAAAAATTTCTGTACAATTGGGCAAATAATTTTAATAAGTCAACATTCAGGAGTCTGGATCCTTTTTGGAGACACAGGTCATCACTCCAACTGCAATGTAATGGTATGCAGATTTTATGTAAGGAATAAGCTGAATACCACTAAATACCCTTAGCTACAACGTATTTTTTTTTTTCATCAGAAAATAAGAACCTATTTAAGAAATTTCTGCCAATAACCATTTACGTAAGAACCTGTTTAAGCTAATTTGGGAAATGTAGGTTCTTAGTCGCGAATTCTCGCTGTAAGAGAAGGGTGATCTTCCTGTGAGAACCTAAAAATAAGAAATAACATTATGATTATGAAGAAGGGCCAATGATGACCTTACTGACCAAGCTGAACAGCGTCTTAAAGGTGATTACTCGATGACGGCTGAAGTGCACATGGTGTTCAGTCCACAGCTTCCATCACCACGGTAGATCAGATAGTAACCCTGTGGGCAAGTCAACGAAAGGGAATTTAAGTGGAATGTGAAGAGCTTAACACCCGGTATACCTGAACATCAGGCCCCGGTTGTTCAAACGCTGGATAGCGTTACCCATCGGATAAATCACTGTCCAGTGGATAAGTATTAGGGGAACTGATTGAACTATCCAGTGGATAGAGATTTCTCCGATAGATAGTGTTATCCACCTTTTGACCAAAAACAATGGGCTCAGATGCCAATAGCGCATATAAGGATGGCTGTATGCAAACATTAACCTTTTAATCACACATAATGGCAATTTTCTGGTTAGGCTAGGGGTACAGTACCTTTTATGTAGAATTTGTGTCTATAAGCAAAGGGAATGTCTAGTAACCAAGGATTATATTTCTATGAAAATTCTTCGTTATTTCAATGCTTCTCTGGGCGGTCAAAACTTTTACTACGCTTAAAAATTGTTCCAAACTTGCATAATCTTATCGTTAAGCCTAAGGATCATCAAAATGTGCCATGCTAGAAAAAAAGATTGAACTGACCTCTTCTCCCCAGCTTTCACCCCAGCTGAAAAGGAAGCAATCAACACAAATTTTAACAACTGAAAATCAATAATGTAATGGCATTCTAACTTTGTTTTTAGCGGTTAACTGGGAGAAAAAAAATTAATGTTTCTCTAATGGCCACTGGTTGAAATGGTTCCAAAGAAATCCTTTGAATAACCTGTATCCCAACTTGTATTCCACCCTTTTCTTTTGGGCTAGTTGTCTTAGTTCATAATTCAGTTTGAGAATGACTCGCCTGGATCCTTGCCTTTTTGGCAGGCAAGCTTCAACAGTTACTTGCCCAGAAAGAAGATTTTCAAGCCCCGGCTGGGTCTAACGGACAGGACGTTTTTGAGCCCTGTGATCCTGACTAACATAATTTTCTTTCATTGGTTATTGATTTTTGTGTCTGAGTGGGTTAAAATTCACTTTAAAACTGGATGGATTCTGATACAGAGGGGATGAAAAGCAGGTTAGAGTAATCTTATACAACTTACCTATTCTTGATGATCCAGTATGGTTCATCACCCCATATCCAGCTTTTCTCTATAAGGCACAAGGGAAACACAAGTTAACATTTACCGGGCACTACTACTACTACTGGTAATAATAGCAAATTGCTCTGATGAATGGCTAGAGTACGAAATGTCAGCTTTTGAATCTCTTCACAGTGGCCAACTCAGTAAATGAGGTCTCAAAATAACGGCCAGTCAACGGACAATGTCCGGCCAGAACGGCGACTTGACCGGCCAAACACTTTACTCGCGAGTCATGTAAACCCGTCACGCATGTACTCTCATTCTTGTCTCTTTGCAAAATTACCATCAGGTTAACAAGATAGAAAATTACACAAGGATAAGTTAAGTTTATTTTGACCGGTCAGAGACGAGAATTGACCGCGCAGAAGTTCTTTGGCCGGTCATCGTATCCGGCCACCGTCCAAAAATAGTTTTGAATCCTGGTTAATGTTCATAAAACGAAATTACTGGGGAAATGCATGTGTGTTGATTATACATTTAGTTTTTTGATAATTGGGGACACGAATAATAGCAATCCATATTCAAAGGTCTTTGTTACAAAACTAGCCCAGTTCTTCTTAGATACTTACTGACACCATAGCCCACAATAAGCACACCATGATCCAGCTCTGAAGGGTCACAAAACATCTTCCAAGGATGGGCAACTCCTCCCAGGTAAAACTAACAAATCCAGATTGGAAAAAGAGAGAAATCACTGAGAAATCTCTTTCCATATCGATTTTTTGTGCTTGGCTTCAAAGCCATTTTTAAAAATCAACACATACATTATTACAGTAAAGTATTTGTTTAGGCAATAACATGATTTGTAGTGATATTTGGCATAAATACCACGAGCGATCTTTCTAAATTCTTGTACGTAATTTGAGACAATTTTGACACATCACAAGTGGTATTTATGCCAAATATCATGTACAAATCATGCTATTATTTGTTTATACAACTACCCAGGAAAGATTTGTAATTTTCACATGAAGGTATTTCAAATTAAGCTGAAATACCACTGTTCTAAACCAAGCAAATTGCAGAAATTTCTCATGTAGTAGTATAAAGTATATAAAACCATGTACACTGTACAGCAATGTTATGCATAAATCTGGGTTCAAACCTTTCACAGTTTCATGGTAACCATTATGTCGCAACTGTGTGTGAAGTTTAGATCTATAGATGCACATGGATTGCCATTTAATATTACAGTCACAATTTTCCATGACAAAAACCTGTCATTTTGCTCTTGAAACTCAAATTTGTTTTCACCCTTTGTGAAACAAAACACAAAAAACCTACTACATATTCATGTACAGTGGGTACAAGAAATTTTGAATACTGGGTCCTTTGTCTCGAATGTTAGGAAAGGGTCGAGTCAAAGGTGTGTTACTTAGGAGGTGTCACACAACAGACATGCCTTGATTCAAGAAGACATTTTTGCAGATCAGAGGATGGTAAAACATAATAATATTATAATATGTCCTACCTGCATCATGATAGCATTGATACCAATGGAGATTGGTCCATTAGCAACTAACCAGGCTGCCATTTCTGTGAGGAAAATACAAAAATTTACTACAATGGCAAAGACAGTACAACTGGCCTACATGCACACATAATATTATGTGCCAAAAACACAAAGAATATACCAGTGCAACGCAGTAAAAGAACATTACACTTTAAGTACAGATGGTTTTAAAATAATTAAAATAATCATAATTGTAATAGGCCTTTTGCATTAGTTGATCATGTGATCAACTTCCTCTAGACACAAAAACAGTTCACTTTTGAAAGATTTTGTCAGCACAAACCAAGACATCATATTAAAATTAGGTAACCTGAAAATTTTCAGCCCTATATCTCAAAAGTAGCGATTGCAACAGCTGCCAAAAAATTACCGATAGAAGGATTTGTATGGGATGACCCAGCCATGCTTGAGTGGTTTCTATACAAATCCTTGTAAATTTTAAAATTTTCTAACTGTCATTAAATATTAATTTTTCTTAAGCATTACAGGGCTCAAATCTCCTTTTTATTCATAACAGGCTGAGCCCTTAAATGTGTAAGGGAAATATCTCAAGAAAAAATTTCAGACTTTAAAAGGATCTATATGGAAAACCACTCAAGCATGACTGGGTGGCAAGAGTTGTGTTCCTCATACAAATCCATCTAACTTTTGGCAGCCATTGCAATTGCTACTTTTGCGATATACAGCTGAAAATTTACAGGTTGCTTAATTTTAATTTATAAATGCTCTTTTAATTTCTACAAACAAAATTTTGCAAAAGTGAATTATTTTGATTACGTGACCAACTATTGCAAAAGGCCTATTTGACTGCCCAGGTGCAATAAAATTTTACATGATTATTTATTGCTGGTATGTTCTTCCGTGTGGATACTTGACATTTCCAATATATGGAAACACCATGCTAAGGTACGAACAACAGACATTCACAACATTGTTTTGTACGCTAAAATCTGATTTCATGGACGTAAAAAGTTTTGAATTTTAAGACTTTTTAATATTAGTGCTTTGCCCTCCATTTGACAACTTCACGTGACCCTTCCATTATGGCTGCACTGTATACAGTTCATGATTGATTTACTTGCAGGGCTCCGTGGTCCCTGGCACCTAACTTTTGCTCTAGGGCGACTAGAAAATCTTAGTTCTTTCATACAAATCATATGCTGGGCTCCCTTCAATTTTCCTAAGAGCACAGCCTTGACTAGAATTCCATTGATAAGCTGTTTGAATACACTGTTTGAAAACACCGATAGAGGGGATCAGGCTGTTATTTAAATGCCCCACAGTGGGTTCCTTGTCACTAGGTTTTCAAACCCATGTTATAATTATTTTACATTGTGGCAAACTAATAAGCCTACCAGCTCAATAGGAACCATAATCAAAGAGTTGACACTTCTACAATAATACAAATTTTTATAATTTACATTCAAAGGACTTCTTACAAATCGTAATTGAAAATTTGAGGATACACGGATGGAAAAAAATCAAAACATCATTTCACTGTAAATGTTACTTACTGTTTTCATCTTTGGATATTGCGACTGATGAGTTGATATACACCACAGCTTCGGACTTCTTAAACTTGCATTTCTCATCAGCTCCCTCGTAAGGGTACTCACTTTCTGCCTCAAGACCACCTGAATTATAATGAACAGTGGTCACATTTGTTAGAGCAGTTAACACTACCTGTGAAATGATAATTATTAATTAGTTTTTGTCTTCACGAAATAAGGATATTTTTAAGTCTACAAAAGCCAAAATGTTATAACGCATTCTTTCTAGAGAGAAGTAGAAAATAAGTTTTAGTTTCAAGGTGCATCATGCTAAAGAAACCGGATAAGCTCCAGTGTAAGGAACCCTTGTAGAGCACCTATACCCAGCAGTTGCTGAAAGTCAATTTCCATTTGAAAGTCAGTATGTATTCATACAGTTCATAGAATTACCAAGTTTCACGATTTGCTTGTAAGCAGTGGAAGGAAGTCCACCATCACAGCCTTGGTCAACTTTATCACAGTCAACAAGCTCTGAAAAAAAATAAAGACTGACGATTAACCTAAAGTATGAAAAAACGAAGGAATAAAAACAGCATGCAAAGAAAGTAGTGTCTCATAGCCTGGGGCTAGTGGATTTTGCTATCGGGCTAGTGAATTCTGTTTTTAACCTGCCCGACAGGCAAGTAATGTTTTTTGAGGAATTTGAATGCCCGAATGGCAAGCTGTAAAAATGATTTTCTTTGCATCCAGAAAAAAAATATACATGTATTTACTATGAAGTAAATCTAAGATATTTCCACCATAAAAGAGAGAATTAGCTTTTCAAGATAGCGAAAANAAATCAAAACATCATTTCACTGTAAATGTTACTTACTGTTTTCATCTTTGGATATTGCGACTGATGAGTTGATATACACCACAGCTTCGGACTTCTTAAACTTGCATTTCTCATCAGCTCCCTCGTAAGGGTACTCGCTTTCTGCCTCAAGACCACCTGAATTATAATGAACAGTGGTCACATTTATTAGAGCAGTTAACACTACCTGTGAAATGATAATTACTAATTAGTTTCTGTCTTCACCAAATAAGGATATTTTTAAAATGTTATAGCGCATTCTTTCTAGAGAGAAGTAGAAAATAAGTTTTAGTTCCAAGGTGCATCATGCTAAAGAAACTGGATAAGCTCCAATGTAAGGAACCCTTGTAGAGCACCTATACCCAGCAGTTGCTGAAAGTCAATTTCCATTTGAAAGTCAGTATGCATTCATACAGTTCATAGAATTACCAAGTTTCACGATTTGCTTGTAAGCAGTGGAAGGAAGTCCACCATCACAGCCTTGGTCAACTTTATCACAGTCAACAAGCTCTGAAAAAAAATAAAGACTGACGATTAACCTAAAGTATGAAAAAACGAAGGAATAAAAACAGCATGCAAAGAAAGTAGTGTCTCATAGCCTGGGGCTAGTGGATTTTGCTATCGGGCTAGTGAATTCTGTTTTTAACCTGCCCGACAGGCAAGTAATGTTTTTTGAGGAATTTGAATGCCCGAATGGCAAGCTGTAAAAATGATTTTCTTTGCATCCAGAAAAAAAATATACATGTATTTACTATGAAGTAAATCTAAGATATTTCCACCATAAAAGAGAGAATTAGCTTTTCAAGATAGCGAAAAAAAAAAGATAATTATCACAAATAACTTGCACGCTATAATACATATGTACCTTGTTCACTGAGTGATACCAATTTGCCTTTTTTGATTTTCCACTGTCCCTCTATATTTCCAGTTGTTGAAAAAGCCCAACATGAACCACACATACCCTAATAGACAAGAATATCAAGTTCAAAGATTTGTTTAGGTGTTCAAAGATTTGTTAATGTGTTATTATTACAATGTCTAAAGTAAATCATCTACATGTAGATTTGATTCACTCACCTGGTTCTTAACGGCAGTCACAGCACCTGGAAAATAAACAAAATAATCCTGACTTAGTAATTATTATAATTATTACACTGCTCGATCACATCAAGTACATTTATATTTTAAATCAAGAATATGTGTTAAAAAAAGAATAAATGATTTCCTAACCAATTCCAATTTCTTTGTTTGTAAATTAAAAAAAAAAATTAACTAAAAAGAAAATGCACAAGCAAGCTACTGTACAGTACATTGCAAAGTTCAACAAGATAATCTAAGACAAGACAGAGCACCTTTATCACGCCAGTCAAAAGCATTTGGAATAGCTCCTTCTGGAATTTTAGCTTCTTTCATTTCATACAGTGGTTTTCCCCATCCAGGCATTCGGTAATATTTCTTGAATTCCTCCTCTGTGAAAAAGAACAACAAGTTGTTTCTTCCAGGGACAGTATTAGGGTGCATTCATTTGCAACGATACATACAGTGCATGTATGACCTTTGCATTTGCTCATTGTTTATTATTATTATATATTATTACTGCTTTCAAGCCTAAAAGCAATAAAAATTCCAACCAACAATGAGACATAATCAACTATAGACCCTGCTGGCAACCTGTGGGTTCACACGGATTGAGTGTGTACTGGTATATACAAACTGTGTATAGACCATCTATGGCGTCAAACTTACTCAAAGCACAGCGTCATGGAGCAAGGGCGTTTTGACTTTTAATCATTGTCGACCGCATTCCGTTACCTTTGGTTCTAATTACTGGTATTGCTTTGAAGACCCCATTAAAATGAACACCTTGTTAATACAACCAGGATTATAGATCCAATGGTGGTCTCATCAACAGGGTTCCACTGTTCATGTTCAGATACAAAATTAAAATAATTATTAATCAGAATTGAGTATGTAATTATATATTATTCACAACTTATTGTTAGTATATAAAATGAAAAACAACAACCTGATAGGTCACTAAAAACTGTCTCTCCATATTTAGCTGATCCTTGATCCATTTCCTGTATCTTTTTAGCTTTGACCATATTTTCCTTATAAATTGCCAAGCGCTTCATATACTCTGTTAAAAAAATTAATGGAAATAAAAATAATGAACTGTTAAATTTAATCATGTAAGTTGAGTGAAATTTACCCTGTTTACCCTTCAGCACGAAAACCCTGCCTTACACATTGTACAAGTGCACACTAGAAGCTGCGGGGCTCACATGGCTGGAGTTAAACCTTGTTTCAAAAGTACACATGTATGTCGGAGGAACCTAAAAGCACTGCATGCATGCTGTAGCAGAATATCAAAGAGGAGCAAGGTTTGCTCGCAGTGCTTGAACCCCGACCATCAGATCTAGTTTAGTAAAGTTCAAGATGTTGAACACTTAGCCTCTACACCTCCAATGACATTTTACCCACAAGACAAGAACACAAGGTCACAAGAACTGGTTTTTAAAAACTCACCATTTTTGTCATTTAAGTAAGGCTTCTTGTGACGGATCACAAACTGTCGAAAAGTCTCTTCCTCAGGGTCAACACCTTTAGCTGGTTTTTCCTGAGTAAGCAAAAGTCATAACAATAATTTATTATGAAGTACCACTAAAAATAAACTGTCCGACACATACAGTGCTGTAGGTTGCAATCCTAGAGTAAAGAGTTGCATAATTATTCATTAAAAACAAGTTTATGCACGCTAGTTCAGTTTATTGGAAAAACCTCAAATCAATGATATCAAAAGCTAAATGCATGTGTTGTGGTTAAATTTTGTCCCAGTTTAAATTCAGTATCCTTTTATTATAGAATAATTTATTATTATACATAACCATAGCCCAAAATAAAGAAAAATAGATCTAATTTACAGCAAGGATAAAACTGAACTTTATTTAACACATTTTAGAATAGGCTGACTCAGTTACATGTCAATCACAACTGTACCTCTTCAGCATACTCAGTCACAAAATTATCCTCATCTGCAGGTTCTGAGGTATTAACAGCAGGCTCGCTTCGCTCACAAGAGAGCATCTGTTCCTCCTTTAAACCCACACATTCATGGTTCAACAGCTCTTTTCTCTTTTCCCAGGGAACATTGTAAATAGTAAACTTACAATGCATCTGTAGAGAGAAAAAACAGAAGCTGTCAATCACTTGAAAGACTGTTTTGATTATGACATATGTAAAGTACAATGTACATGTACAGTACACCTTGCACACTGTAGGTCCTCAACAAGCCAACAAATTTAAGCTGTGCTCTCCCATAAGAGGCTTTTCAGGGGTGATGAAATAAACATTTCACAAACAGTACTGCTCAAAAGTAAGTTTATCACCCTCTTGTGAGACGCGAATCAAGTTGCACATTATACAATAATTACTGTAGCACAGGATCAGATGTGATTCTCGTATCACACAATGCCCTAAAATAAGAACTTTGATCAGTTCTTTTTAAGACCTCGAGTAATATTGCACAGTGTCTTTTTCTTGTCTTTTTTTTCTGGGGACCATTTTATAATATTATTATTAGGTTTCCAAAAGACTCCATACACCTTTTCGTAGAGCACAGGGCCCCTTGATTATTTTAGTTAAGAACAAGTTAACAGATTCATAATGTTTTAAGCTGAAAAATGTCACATCATTTTATAGCTTTAAATGACAAGGAATCCCTTCTGTGGGGGGAGTATGGATATTTCCTGGAACTACACATTGCAGTTAGTGTTTTATACTTAGTTATTCTAAGCACAGTGTATATTATGCAGGCTGAGCCCCACTGAAGAACACCCTTTGGTGAAGTGGGCTCTCTGGTAAATTATAATACCGTAAAATTCCGAAAATAAGCCCCTCCATGTATAAGCCCCTCCGAATATAAGCTCCTCCAAAAATAAGCCCCTCAAAAAGGGCCTTTGAAAAATAAAAGCCCCAGGGCTTATTTTCGGAATTTTATGGTATAATGATTAAAAAAGTACAATACCTCAAGAGTATCAACAGGACATTTATCTAATGAAGCTGACTTGTGGGAATCATCATTGCGACAGCTGCGGGAAACACCAACCTCACTGACAACACAGAACTTCTGTCCAGCAACTAACTAAACGATAAAGAAACACAAATGATTTAATAAAAATTCCAAATCTGAGTTCTAACCTGGTGTTCTACAGTGTACCTCACTGCACGCTTACTTTAATTTTCTTCTTGCTAATGTTCTAAAAGAGGGAAAGTTGCATCATACTAACAAATGAGGAAAACAAAATTATCACATTCAAAGCATGACTCAGACACAAGTTTCCTTTCAACCTCAATAACTGTTAAACTTCAGCTTTATGGGATCAATATTATGATTTCATTGCACTAGTTTTTCTAAACATGTAGCGCCTGTTTGTTTGATTTTGTCGGCCGTAGGGAGGTTCATTTAAAAGTTTACTAACGCGTCGTTGCAAAACATTATGCTTCACGAAGCTTAATTCCACAAGATCTCCTCAGTCACATCCATGTCTCAATGGTTTCTTTCTTACAGTCTCTATTGTTGCTGTTTCATTTCTGCGTATTCCTTTCACAATTATCTGAGCTTGTATGGAAGCTGGCAGAAGAAATAAACCTTCAATCGCCATAAAAGCGCTTCCCATCTTTTGGTCCTCCGGCCAACGGCAATAAAAGTAACGCCAAAAAATCCCGATTTCGCCCAAATTGAAACTCAAAGGGAACAATATATCATTGATCTGTAATCCTGAGGAGTTTTAGTGTAGTATGGAACTCGGCCAAGCGCGATGCAAACGGATTTTTCAAAAAGACCCCCTTGTTTTAGAGCCAGTGAGTGTCTGGTAGGAATATTATAATAATTATATGATGTACATGTACCACAATGTGGACCATTACTACATGAACATTTATGTCCGTATATGTCACAGGGCTCAGAAATATATTGACTACTCAGGTCTACAATATGTAAGTTTGTAAATGCCAATTATGCATTTAAGCCAAGTGGCTCATCTGCACGTTGAGACTTAACCTGGTTCTATAGCATGAAGCAACTAGGAATTTTTCGAATATCCCCTGGACATAAAGCCAGTCTATAAAAGGGCTACCCTCAACATAAACCATTTAAACATATCTGAAGGAAACTGATGCCTGATTTTTAGAGCCTTTTGATCCCCATTTTCTGTTCTCTCTGACAATGAATCTATGTGATATAATCTGCAGAACACTGATCACGTACATTGTACACTGTACATTGTAAGCTATTTTGGTGAAATACTGCAGCACTCTCTGTCAGGTTTCTGTTGGGACACAAATAACAGGAAATGGACTGTTGTTCCTTTCCATAAATCTTTTAGAGTTGACCCCAAGTAAATGGTTTGATTTGTAGGAGTCAAGATCACTGGTCATTTTGCAGGTCAAAATGAAATTCAGTTAAAAATTGTTTCAACCTGATAATCGATTCTCAGTTTCCTTTGTTTCCCTTCAAATTTCTCGGTTTGCCACATGAAAATCGTGTTTTACTTTTTGCATGAATTAAAAACAAAGGTCAAGGAGTAGTGATGTCACGGGACGGCATTAATGGCTGGTCGATTCAGACGTTACTGAGGGAGTAATAACGACTCAAAGTAATCGGATGAAATTCAGGCTACACGCAAAGAACCGCGACCTGAACTTCAGCAAGAGTAGCAACAAAGAAGACCAGTGCATTCATCAACTGGCTGTTGTAAAGCCCGAGAATGAGTAAATACAGAAATAATGCAGAATGGTTTTGAAATACTCGTTTAGGCTATTTTTAGGTCAAACGTACCTTTGAATTCATGATAATTACAGCTCCAAAAGGTTCCAACAGTGTGAATGGCAGAGAAAAATACTTCAAACTATTATTTTAAGAATTGAACTGTGAATTTGTCGCATGGTTCCGTGGCTACTTTCCTATTTTTTTCCTTTTGGTTTTTGTCTATGTTTTTTTCTTTCATCGTATTTTTTCCCTCTGGCTTGTTTCCGGTTATTCTCACTGCTGCCCCTTTTAGCTTCTCGAGATTTTTGGGATAACGGATTTCTAGTAGACTTACATAACATAGATGCATGGATTTTCCGGCTCATGCCCACATAAAGGAGTATTGTTTCATTTTGGTTTCATTATAAACCAGCTGAGGATATACACTGTAAGTAACATTAGCTTTGACTTACACTTCGCTCAAAGTCAGGGCAGTAGTTGTGCAAAAGCCTTAATAAGGGTTAACGCATAATTACAAACCAGAGAAGGTTGTAAAAGTATCCTAAATTTACAGGCTTACTTGAAAGGTAGCGTCTTCCACTTTGGTCGCCATTAATCGATACATGTTGTTTTGCATACCGTTGAATTCGTTCATGGCGAAATCCAGCGCATCTAGAACTTCAGGATCATCAGTCTTTCGTTCCTCTATTTCCCCCACTAAAGCATCAGATCCGAAGAAACAAGGAACTAAAATCAATGAGAAGAAAAATAAAGACAACGCCATGTTCGTTTCGGTCCTGTTTGTGCCAGCAGCAAGTGCGTCACATGACTTTCCGGTTTCCGGATTTCACCCTCGTTCTCAAGTTAGACACACTTCCGTCGAGGACATCACGTGATTTCCGCGCGAGAAGTGTGAAAGCATCGTTTCTTGGCCCCAGACCTCGTCTCCCCCCTCCCAGACTTCCCAGACTGGGTTAGACGTCGAACTAATCCACTGATCAGATAGCCTCCCCGCAGACGTCCTTTGGGGTTCGTTATTCGTGGGGGAGAAATGAATGCGTGACAAAGAACCCCAAAGGACGTCTGCGGGGAGGCTACTGATCAGACAAAAAGGCAATTTTAGCCTAACGAGGCTAACTATACATTACCACAGAATATTTTTATTTTTTAGTTTAGTTCACCGCATGTGAAAGATCGACGTTTATCCCGGAGACGATGTCCAGACGTTCTATTCGTCTGAAGCAGACGGATAGCTAGAACGTGCTAGACCTTCGTCAGTGATTCGCAATTCGAAATTCATTCTAGCATAAGTAGCCGAACATAAGATGCTTCTTATGAAACCCTCCTTCCCAAGAAAGGATATTCGGATTCTGGGAAAACTTTTGCTTGTTGAATGTGGAATCCTGGGATTTGGAATCCGGAATACATCTCGAGGAATCCGGAATCCCACTAACAACTGGAATCCGGGAAATCAAATTCCACTGATGAACCAGAACCTGGAATCTTGGATTAATCCATGGCACTGGATCCCTTTCATGCGGCGACTCTCTTTAGCGCGGAGATAAAAAAAAAAAAAAAAAAAAATTTCAGAGCTACCCCGTCCCTGACCTCCAGATACCCGCGACCGCGGGGGAAAAATCCAACGGGAAAAAAAAACGAGGGGAGAGTAAAGGGCCCCCCCCACCCGTGTTCCGGGGGTCCA